AAGCTTTAACATCCTTGCCCTCGGCTATGCTTGCGCTGAGGTTCCACCCTTTCCAGACAAGGGATCAGTGGAATGTCAAGCTTCTCCCCTTCGGTTTTGGGCACCCATGCCGTCATGACTGCTTCGACCCGGAACAACGTTAGGGCAGCACCCAAACACATAGGCTCCAGATCTACAAGCGCTGCCTCCACGAATAACAGGAACACTGATCTTCTTGCAAAGACGCTGGCAGGCTGGAGCCTTTCCGATTAGGCATTACCACGTGGTCTTCCCTCGAAACCTCAACCGCAAAAGCCTAAGCCCTAAACACCGAAACCCTAAAGTCTAAACTCCTACACCCCTATGCCCTACACCCCTCAACACCCCCCTTCCTGAATCCCGACTCCCCGCAAGCCAGCGCCTGTTGGCCCTTCGCTTGCTTGGCCATGTGGAACATGGACATCGAGGCCCTGGGGGCAGCAAAAGAAACCCCACCACTACGACGTGCCGGTTTGGCTTGTGGCTAATGTAGGGTTTAGGGTTTAGGGTTTAGGGTTAGGGTTTAGGGGGGCCTTAATAGTTAGAATAGATGTTTTCAGGTTTTACGGCTTGTACGACACTGGGGTATTGGGAGCATTTAAAGTGGTTGAATAGATGTTTTCAGGTTTTACGGTTTGTACGGCACTGGGGTATTGGGAGCATTTAAAGTGGTTTAAGCTATTCAGGGCACTTAGAGGGTCAGGGTTTGGGGCGGGCTTGGTTTTGGGTACGGTGTAGGGTTTAGGGTTTAGGGTTTAGGGTTTAGGGTTTAGGGTCATTCTACTTTCGGACTTGGGTGGTTTCGCTCAACTCGCTCAGGGAGAATTGAACACGGGAGGTGTCACGATTGGTGTGTTTCGAGTTTGTGGCGAATGAAGTTTCACGGCTTTGGGGTATATTATACTATAACTATACTAAGGAACCCAAAGTAATATAGCTAATTATTCAGGCCCCTACATTATTTAAAACACTGTCGGACAAGGCTGGCGTGTGAAGCTGCTCCTGACGACGGGTTTCACGGGTGTGTACCCCGAATCTTCAGAATTTGACAGCTTTTTTTCAAGTGTAGTGACCTTTTCTGTGCGATCCGGCCTGCCCCATAGAGGCTTACACTGTACCAGAACACTCATAGGCTGTGCATGTGGTGCCATGCACTTCACACACAACAACCGGAGACAGTTTGGCAGTTAGGGTTTAGGGTTTAGGGTTTGGCAGTTAAGCAAAATGCCCGGCAGTGTAACATGCAGCCATGTCGCGGCATGGCATGGTAGGAATGGCTGTAGTACCTGACTCTGCAACTCTCGGAAGCCATAAACTTAATCCAAACCCTAAACCCGAACCGTCACCTGCTAAAGCCTAAGCTCACAAACCCATAAATATATGGCCAAGAGTGCTAGAAAACTTGTGCAAAGCAGTGCTGGTATGTGCAGGAAAATATTGAGATGTGTCCTTTCACATTCATCCACTAGTAGCAGTAGGATCAGTTGCCTGCCGGAAGACATGCCGAGCGAATGTTTCTCGAACTCAGAAGCTATTCACGACATTGGTCTCCTCAAAACCCTACCCAGATCCAAGACTGCCCAATACTGAAACTTCATAAGATCCCTAAACCCTAAACCCTAAACCCTAAACCCTAAGTCACACCATCCAAACCCAACAACGGTTGAGCCCAAACACCCCAAAGACTGAACCCTGAACCCCCGGACCCAGAGATAAAATAGGGGCCTTAATAATTAGAATAGGGTTTTGGGGTAGAGTATACTAAAATACAAATATGATAAGGAACCTCAAAAAAAGTATAGGTAATTTTCTAGGCCCTTTTTTTTACCAAACCCCAAATCCAAGAGCCTTGCACCCGAAACTCCAAATCCAAGAGCCCAGTGTGCAAGGCGTGGGGGACGGTTCGAGGCCTGCATTTCTGCCTCTTTGTCGGGTTCGGCATGTTGGGTTTATAGAATCCTTTGGATGCGGTTTGGAGTTCTTTTGTCGGCGCATTTGTGCCGGGGAAGTCAAAACACAACAAAGTGACATGCTGCATGACGAGCATGCCTTTGTCACCACTACGACGAAAACAGTCGTTACAGTTATCGCGACTATTGCAAGTGTTTGTATCACTCGCACTGGTGCTCACACTAATTATTACAATCACCCTGAGACGTCCTGTGATTGTGGGTCCTAAGCGCTGAACCCGAACCCTGAACCCAAAGCCCTAAACCCTAAACCCTGAATCCTGAATCCTAAACCCTAAGCCCTGAACCCTGAACCCTGAACCATAGGGGTTCCTAGAGGAACACCGAGCCACTCTTGAATCCGCTGACGCTTCCGGCGCCGCTTGTCCTCGCGGCTTCAGGCTTCCGAGGGAAAAATTCCGGATATGATCGTACGATTAGGGTTTAGGGCTTAGGGTTTAGGGTCTACAGGGG